GCCTGCGTACAGGTATCTTTACCTGTTTGCCTTGCAGTGCATTGACACCAGAGACCAGTTGGAAGTTATGACAACTGCCAATAGTTGAGGCTGTGATAGGTGGTAGGGGAAGGGGAAGGGGATGAGGAAGGGGTAGAGGGCTGGGCAGAGGGACGGTGTTTTATTGTGGGCCGAATTTAGCTGTTACAATTCCCGCCATTCGCTCGGCTATAAACTTACCAGCAAAACACATATTCGCAACATTTTTATCGTCTCTCTTTCGCGCAGAGACACCTTGTACCGCATGTCTTTGGAGCTGGAGCTGCTGGAGCGGGCCAGCTGGGAGGCAACGCCTGGGAACGTGCTGCTGTGCCAGCAGAAAGGCCAATCGGATCGCTGGTGTCGCAACTATGTGCGCGTGCTCCACAGCTACGGTGAGAACCAACTGTACGCGTGTGGGACGAACGCCTTCCAGCCGAGCTGTTCGTGGCGCCAGGTGAGTGGTCGTCGTCGTCAGCGTCGTCTATGTCTGCTCGTCGAGTTGGCGACGTCTCTGACAGCCCAACAACTGCAGCTGAGCTAAACTCTTGTATCCCCCTCTCTCTCTCTCTCTCTCTCGCTATCTCTCTCTGTGTAGATGGAAAATCTGAACGTTACCCAGCTGGACGATGGCGTGGTCAAGTGCCCCTTTCATCCGCAGGCGAACAGCACCAGCCTCCTGTCCAATGGCAACATGTTTGCGGGCACTGCCACAGACTTCTCCAGCAGCGACGTGGCCATCATTCGCACACCCGTCCAGTCCAATAGGGTAAGTAGTTAGTCATACACGAGGGTGGCTTAAAAAGTTATATATGACAAAATACATAGCATCTTTATTATTTGTTATCGTGATTTATTAATTTCGATCCAAAGATACCAGGGATAGTCTTTAAATATAAAATATAATATGTAAAATATAATATTAATAAATTTAATTTTAATAAGTTTACATAGAGATTGGAAAATATAAAATACATAATTCTTCTTTTATAACTTCCCCTTTAGATGGATCGCAAACGTTTCCTGCGCACTAAGCAGTACAACACCAATTGGCTAAATGGAGCTCAGTTCGTGGGCAGCTTTGAGGCGGGCAACTTTGTCTACTTTCTGCTCCGAGAGTCCGCTTCAGAGCACATGAGCTGTGGCAAGGTGAGTGAGAAAGAGAGAGAGAGAGAGACGATATAGTCCCACTGCAATCGTAATATTCTATGCTCTCTGTCCAATAGGTAATCTATTCACGCATTGCGCGCGTCTGCAAGAACGACGCTGGCGGGGATCAGGTGCTGCGTGACAATTGGACCTCGTTCCTGAAGGCGCGCCTGAACTGCTCTCTGCCAGGCGACTATCCCTACTACTTTGATGAGATACAGGGCATGACATATGCGGAATCGGAGCAGATGCTCTATGCCACCTTCAGCACACCGGGGTAAGCACTTAGATTGGACTCCCTCAGTATCGATTCACTAATTTCTAATTCTTCTTCTGTTCTCCCTTAGGGCGAGCATCTTTGGCTCTGCCGTCTGCGCCTACAACTTGAGCTCGATCAATGCAGCGTTCGAGGGCGCCTTCAAGCACCAGGAGCACGCGGATGCGCCCTGGAAGACGGTGAACACGCCGCAGCGAAGTCAGTTCCAGTGTGCTAGTGGAGCCACTGCCTTTGGCCACCTGCTGGAGAGTTCGCGATACCAACTCATGGATCAGGCCATACAGCCGATAGGGGCTCAGCCGCTGTATCACTCCCGGCTGGAGCACTTCAAGCACATTGCCCTGGACATTGTGCAGACCAGAACGGAGCAGCTGCATGTGCTCTACGTCAGCAGCAGTGGGAATCACATCAAGAAGCTGTCGGTGAAGTATGGAGCGCAGGGCAAGACGCAAACCTGCCTGGTGGAGATGTGGCAGGCGGACGACACGGGCAGCAGCACCCTGTTGCACATGTCCTATCTGAAGGTGACGGAGTCCCTGTACCTGGGCACGGATCTGGCTCTGACGCGCATTCCCGCCCAGCGCTGCAGTCGCCATGTCTCGCAGACCAGTTGCCTCAATGCCATGGATCCGTATTGTGGCTGGAATGAGCTCGTGGAACGCTGCACACCACTCGATCCCACGCTGCAGCAGCCCTGGCTGCAGCCAACCCAAGTCACCTGCCCCGTGCTCAATGCGCCCATCGATGGCGGCTGGTCCACCTGGTCGCCCTGGGCCGAGTGCCAGCAGCATGACCAGCCCGATAGCAACTGCTTGTGTCGGCAGCGCAACTGCAACAATCCGCAGCCACAGCATGGGGGTGCAGCTTGCGAGGGCATCAGCACCCAGGTGACCAACTGCACCCAGCACGGCGGCTGGACGGATTGGTCGGCCTGGTCGCCCTGCTCGCAGACCTGTGGCGTGGCCGTCAAGGGACGCCGTCGTAGCTGCAGCAATCCAAAGCCCGCGCATGGTGGACGTATGTGCCTGGGACCCGAGTTGGCGGAGATGTACTGCACCCACTTGCCGCCCTGCCCCGTGGCCAAGCCGACGCCCATTGACGGCGGCTGGGGGCCCTGGGGCGAGTGGAGCGAGTGCAGCGCGCAGTGTGGAGGCGGCTTCCGAATGCGCCGTCGCGAATGCGATGATCCCAAGCCGTCGAACGGAGGCATGGACTGCCCCGGCTGCTGGCTGGACTACGAGGACTGCAACATGCAGAGCTGCGCCGAGGTGCGCAAGCTCAGCGCCTGGACGCCCTGGCTGACGGCAGCCGGTGGCAACTCGTCGGAGGCGCATGTGGAGAAGCGCTATCGCTATGCCTGCCGAGCGACCAGCGCGGACTCGAGCTCGGTGCGTATCAGCTTGGCCAAGGAGGAGACACGCAACTGCAACCAGGACGGCAGCTGTCAGCGGCACAGCGAGCACGAGACCGCGGACTCCGAATCCGAGTGGTCGCCTTGCAGCGTTAGCTGCGGCGGCGGCACACAGCAGCGTCGGCGTGGACACAACACACAGAGTCGCGCCTGCAATATGCACGCGTGCCCGACGGACGAGCAGCCGGACAACAGTATTGACACACAGCTGGAGCACGAGTGGAGCTGCTGGTCGGAGTGGTCCAGCTGCTCAGTGACCTGTGGCCTGGGCGTGCGCCGACGCACACGCAAATGCCTGGGCGGCCACGAGCGACTCTGTGCGGGACGCGCGCTCGAGGAGCAGAAGTGCGAGATGGCGCCATGTGAAGGTGAGTTGCTGTGAGTGCTGCATCAGCTCGATTGGAGTCTTACGTTTGATCAACTTGCAGACTTTCTCGGCTGGAGCTCCTGGAACGAGTGGTCAGCCTGCTCCAATGATGGCATACGCCTGCGCCATCGCCGCTGTCTAGTGGAGCAGCCGGGGCCGCATGAGTGCCGCGGCGCCGAGTTCGAGAAAACCGCCTGCGTGCCTGGCGACTGTGACGGTAAGTCCACGCATGCTCCACACCTGAAACACGTTTGCAATATCCACTGCCTTGCAGAGCTCCAAAGTGCTTCCAGCGCCACAGTGCCCATTGTGATCTGCTGCTGCATGCTGCTGACTGTCGCCTGCTGCTTGGTCACATTCCATTTCACGAAACGCCGCTATCTGCAAAACATCGAGGAGACGCTCAACAAGACGACCACGACCACAGCGAGCTTCGACACATATCCCAATCAGTATTCCAGTCTGCCCACCAAGGATGTAAGTGTCGTATTTATCGGGCCAATGGCAGTTGATATTGATTTTGTTTTTGCATTGGCATTTGCAGTACTATGACCAACGACCGAAGCGCCAGTCCAGCTTCCGCATGCCCGTCAAGACGAGCAACCTGCCAACGGGCACCTTGAATCGCAACAACATGCACCACAACAACACGCCCAAGGTGCTGGCCAAGACCTACAACGACTGCGAGACGGGCACGCTGAAGCGGCAGTCGGCGCTCAACAATTGCCGCACCAACATGGACGACGAGAAGTTTTAGCCAGATGACATATCCATATGACAACCGAAACAAGTGCCATCCGAATGGAAATGAAATGTTGAGCCCAACAACGAAAGCATTTTGCACGGCCAGCCTGCAAAAAGTTCCTTCTCTGACTCATATTGAGTCGCTGCATTTAGTTTAGCTATATCTCGAAATTAGTTTAAGTTATTAATATTTATGGTAAATAATTCGACATTTTGAATGGATAAGTTTTTAAAATTGTACAAATGTATGTTTTGTTTATTTTGTAAAAATTGTTTTTCAAATTATTTACCAGCAATTACAATTACAATTACAATGTAATCTGCTTTTAGAATACGAAAGCGAGACTGAAACTAAAATTTTGTTTTAGACGTACGCCCAATCAAAAATTAATATCAACTTGTGGCCTTGAATACGAGTTATATACGTATTATTTATCATTGTTCAGATGTAAGTGCTAGACTAAGATTTAATTTTAAAAGCTGTTAACTGTTAAGAACATTTGTAAAAATAGATTTTGACTTTTACTAACCAAAATTTTATTGTTTAAGTTCGTCATTTCGTTTTCAAATCAATTTATTCTAAATCGGAATTTCTTTACGTTTACTCCGAGTTTTCGGTCTGGTTTGTGCATTTGCTAGCAGTTTGTCGCCGCAATAGCAAAGACATAATGCTCATCTAATTTCAGCACCAAAAATGAAATTCGGAGTTTTTAACATTTACTCCGAGCTTTCGGAATGGTTTGTGCATTTGCTAGCAGTTTGCCGGGGCGATAGCAGAGACATAATCCCACCCAGTTTCAGCACCAAAAATTAAATTCGGAGCTTTTTACGTTTACTCCGAATTTTCGGTATGGTTGGTGCATCCGCTAGCAGTTTCACTCCGCAATAGCACAGACTCACACCTCATCTAGTTTCAGCACCAATGCAGCTCATGTTTTGCTGGCGCCCCAAAAGTATGCTATAATTTTATATTGATTAACATAATAGTTTCGCTTTCGATCTTATAAATTCGTATTTATTTGATTAAGCAAATATAAACTTAAACAATATATGTTTATTACAACTAGTTTTTACATGCTTTAAGAGAAAAAGAATGATAAAAAGTACATTTTTGTTTAAATTAATAAAACTTCCAAATAGCAATAAATAGTAAATAGTTAAGAACTATTATTAAGTTAAGATTGTGATTCGAATGCGATACAACAACAAAGGACATTTACAAATCGGTCATCTCTTGCTGAGATTCGTAGACGGCACAGGCGCCAGCTGCTCCCGCGCCGGCTCCTGCTCCTGCACCAGTTCCATAACCGGACAGCTTGTTATCCTCACTGGTGATGCGCGTCAGCAGCTCGGCCTGGATGCGCTTGAGGACTTCTACGACTTCGCAGAGGACGCCGCTTTGAGCCGCCTGCTGCATGGCCTCGTTGGCATCGACCAGCGCCTCATTGAGAGCGCCCAGCTCCATGCGCGCCTTGGCCCGGGCATAGTAGCCCTCGTAGCTGTGCGGCTTCTGCAGTATGGCTTGCGTGGCCAAATCTATGGAGGCGTCAAGTTCCTGCAAAGGCATTCAGAGTAAACCATGAGTCCAATTATCTCGCTAAAGATCTAATGTATACAACTTACATTCAGTTTTCGCTTGCAACGCGACAGATTCAGCAACAGGTTGGTCCGCAGCTGGGCGAAGACCGCATTCCGTTCGAGCAGCTGCTCCAGGCCAGAGATCTTACGCAGCGCATATTGGTAGCGATGCGCGGCGTCCTGGAAGCGATTCTTCCGGTACAGCACATTGCCATCCTCCAGCAACTTGTTGAGCAGGACCACCAGGATCTCCGGCTTGCCCATGGCCATGCTCCAGGTGGTGGGGCCCAGCTTAGCGCCCTTGCGTAAAAACACCTGTACCGCCTGTATGTTACGGCAGGCTATGGACCGGTCCAGCGGACGCATGCCATGCACATCGATGTGCTCCAGATTGGCGCCCTGCTCCAGCAGGTACAGCACCAGGCTGGCGGCGCCTTGATAGGCGGCCAGGTCGAGCGCTGTGCGTCCCTTGTGATCTTCGTGCTGCCGATTGCAGCCGTGCTCAATAAGGCACTTGGCCGCCGCCAGATGGCCGCGTAGGCACGCCCAGCTGAATGCCGTGAATCCCTCGTGATCCTCGGCCTCCAGGGCAGCGCCACGTGCCAGCAGCAGCTCCAGCAATTCCAGATGCCCCTCCTCGGCGGCGATCATGAGCGGCGTCTTGCGCGCCTGCCCCAACGGCTCGTCCAGCAGGGCGCCGCGCTGCAGCAGCTGCTCCACCACGCTCCAGTGGCCCTCCTTGACGGCCAGCCACAGCGCCGTATAGCCCTGACGATTCCTGGCATCGATTTGCGCTCCGCGGGACATCAGAATGTTGACTGCGTCCACGCAGCCGTGCCGAGCAGCTGCCGTGAGGGCCAGCTCGCCGCTGCTCGGCTCCAGGCCGTTCACATTGACGCTGAGGTCGTCCAGCTCGTGTTCGTTGAGATCCAACAGATCCTCGAGTATTTTGACATGCGCCTGCGCAGCGGCGCCAATGAGAGCCTGCTGCAGTGCCAAGGAACGGCCCACGTCCTGGGAGCGGGCTCGCGGCGACCAATCGCAGGCCAACAGATATTGGACCACGCTGAGGTGGCCCATGCGGGCGGCATGCACCAGGGCGCAGCGTTGCGTGGTGTCCAGCTGACCGAGGCTGCTGCCGGCGGCCACCAGTCGGCGCACCACATCACAGTGCCCCCGCATGGCGGCCAGGATGAGCGGCGTACAGCCCTGGCTATTGGTCAGACCCACATCCGCGCCAAACTCCAGCAGCAGACTGACCATGGGCAGGATGCCCTCGTGGGCGGCAATGCACAAAATGGGCGCGTCGCCCATGTAGTCGGTGCGATGGTCTGGCGAGGCGCCGGCGAGCAGCACCAGCCGCGATACCTTCACATTGGGACTGTAGACATTGCGCAGGGCACCCAGGGCAGCCGAGATGTTGTCCGCTGCGCCGGCCAGCCAATAGGATTGCAAATCCCGAGGCGAGAGCGCCGCTTGGCTGTTGCTGTAGAGATGCGCCTTGAGCATGTGATGGCCCAGCTCCAGTGTCAGTTGTGGTTGGAGCGGCGCCTGGAGGCGGGACAGCCGGAAGGCAATGCCGGCATGACCGAGTCGTGCGTCGCAGAGGAATTTGCTGGACTCGCCCTCGTCCCGGCGCATGAGCCACTCCCGCAGCGAGCTGTGGAAGAACATGTAGGTGTTGTCCAGGCGCTTAATGAGGAAGCCGTCCAGGAGCTTGAAGCGCTGTATGAACTGCGACCAGCTGAGCGGCTCTTGGCCATGGTGCAGTGCCTCCATGCTGTAGTAGATCTCGTCCAGCGTCAGAGGATAAAGTGCGGCCAGGCAAACGTTGAGTATGGGCGACGTCTGCTCGAAGCTCTGCGCCGTGGGAAAACGCAAGTTGAAGTGAAGTAGGAAGATCTGGGCGAGGGACACGGGCAGCACCTTGTAGCTAGATGACTTGACCACCAGTTGGCCACGCGAGATCAGGTCCAGTATGAGCTTGGCGTACAGCATGGACCCGCGACTCAGCGACTGCAGATGCGAGACGAACTTCGCCTGCGACTGGGCCACCTGTCCGCCGATGTTGTGCTGGATCTCCGGGCAGTGGGCGATGCGCGTATTGATGTAGTCCAGCATGTCCTGCTGCAGGGCCTGGCTGCTGGCCCAGCTGTCCAGCGTGAGTTGGGTGTAGCTGGGCGCCTTGACCAGCTCCAGCATCTGGGTGCGCACCGTGGCGACTAGCTTCAGCCAGGGTGGGAAATGTGGCGACATCTGTGCCAGGAAGCTGGCAATGGTGTGTCCATGATCCGGACGATGGTACTCCGCCTCGCACAGTGCATCCACCAATATGACGGCCACCTTGGCTGGGATCTTGCCGGCACGATGCAGCTGCGCCAGTGGCTCCAGTATGGCCAATCGCATGACTCGCTCCGCATCCGCGATGCACTCGCGCACGCTCAGGATATCCTGTAGATGCGGCTCCGAGAGCAGGTAGTCACGGTACGCTGTCAGCTGCGGCGCCTGGCAGAGCTGCGCGGCCAGCGAGTGCACAAAGTCCGGCACCTGGCAGGTGAGATTGGCGTCCGCCTGGCAGAAGTGGTAGCCCACCATGTGGGAGGCCAGGCCGCGCATGCGCTCATTCTGGGCGCCCAGCTGGCTGTAGATGGCGTCCGCGTCCTCCTGCTGCTGCGCCTGCATCTGTCGCCGGCCGAAGCAGGAGTACTCCACCAGCTGCAGGCAGAAGGCCGTCTTTCCCGTGCCCGGCTGGCCATTGATGAGCACCACGCGTGTGTCAGTGCCCAGCAGGATGTTGGACAGCTGCTGCACCAGCCACTGGCGGCCCACATACGGCGGATCGGGCTCCTGCAACGGCACCTCGAAGAACAGCGGCTTCAAGGCCAGCTGCACTGCAGCCAACGCGGCGGCTGCTGCTGCTCGCTTGTTGACAGCGCCCGCTGTAGTCGATGCTCCAGCGCCCAAGCTGGCCGGCAGCTGCTGAGCGCGCGTGGAACGGCGAGTGGCTCCCTTGCGTGACTTGCCGGGCAGCGCCAACGGCTCGTAGGCATGCTCCTGCATGGTGCAGCCCATCTTGCTGAACTTGCTGCACAGGCTCAGCGTGTCGTCCTTGTGCGACGTGGCCACCGACAGCTGACTGCCGCTGAGGCCGGCGCTGGCCAGCGTCTGCTCCGGGCTGATCAGCTGCGAGGAGCTGCTGCTGTTGCCCGTTGTGCAGATGTTGCTGCTGTTGCTGATGCTATTGCTGTTGCTGTTGCTGGTGCTGCTGCCAACTCCTGCGCTGCTCGAGATGCTCGTCGAGTGCAGCGTCGAGTTGCCATTGTGATCGCTGCTGCTGCTGCTGCTGCTGGTGGTTGTATTCGTGTTGCTGTTGTTGTTGACATTGACGTTGACGTTGTTGCCGTTGCTGTTGTCATTGAACAGCAGGCCAAGACGGGCACGCAGCTGATCCTTCTGCTGCTTCAAGTTCAGCAACGACTGCGGATGGTGTTCGATGCCCAAGGTGTCGCTGCCTGTGAAAGCAAAGAAAAAAATACAAAATTATTAAAATGGATCAAACAAATGCAAATTTAAAATCATGCCAAAAAAGGATTCGAATTAAAAGTGATTAGAGAGAATTGTGATGCATATAATTATAAGAGAACAATAATATTTAGTAGTATAAACAGGTATATGTTTGTTAAAATATTAATATTATGACACAATTAAACTACCAATTTAGCTTAATAGAAAATGCTAATAACATAATCAGCTTTACTTTTCCTATAAAATGCATTTATGCTAAAATGTTATTAGCATAAACTGGCTCAATCTAACAGCAAATGAATTTTTATAACAAACTGTTGTTAGCATAAACTGGAACAGCTTAACATAAAATGCATTAATGACAAAATGTTATCAGCATTAATCGCCACACTTTTAAGCGAATGCAATAAATTCTGACAAAATGTTATTAGCATAAAAAGGCTTCACTCTAAAAGTGTTATGTGAATGGAAGACTTTTTATCTTTAACAGCTGTTGTATTAATGACAATGTAAACCAATTGCATTCCATAATAAATATATCGTAAATCAAGTAATTCTAATCTGAAAAATAAAAAAAATAAAACAATGCCATGCATAATGTACAACGAATAGAAGAAGAATGGTAGAGTAGACGCCATGCCTGCTAATTGATTGAGTCCTGCATCGCTTGAATTGGAGGAATTGACACTCCAAAGCGATTTGATTAGAGATTTGATCGAGGTGCCCGCCAAGCTGAGGCGATTCAAGCGATTCTCGCTGTTGGCTCCATGCTCCGCGGATGACTTCAAATTGTTATTGCTGAAGTTTTTGCGTCGACGACGCGTCACTGCTGAGTCCGAGCAAGTTGAGGTGTTCAGAGCATTCGACTCCTTGCCGCTGGTTTGATGATGATGCGAACGATGATGATCTACATGAGGATGTGGTGCAGGGTGAAGGAAAGCGTTTAAGAAATGTGCAAAGCTTATAGTACTAACTAATAGATCAGTCTAGGAGCTAAGAGTGAGTTTCTAAGATAAACCCAACACCTAAAAGGTGATATATAAAAAGACCTTACCTCCCGATAGCATTGAAGCTGTGTCAAGCGGATAACCCCCATTGGAGGCAGTGCGTCGATGACCCGTGAGGGCGCTGCGTAGATTCTTGTGGTTAAAGAAACGCCGACGCGTTGGCGGCGTTGCAAATGCCGGAGCCATTCCATTCAGATCGTTGTATGGCAAGTGTAGATTGTTGTTGTTGCTGTTGTTTGTCGGCTGTTGCTTGGCCGGGCCATTGTGCTGATGTATGTCGACGGTGACGGTGTGTGTGTTGCCCACAAAGCCATTGCCATTGCCGTTGCCATTGGTTGTTGCACGAGGCAATTTGCCAATGCTCGCATAACGGTGATAATCCGGCGACTGCGACTCCTGACGATGCTGCTGCAAATGCGAAAATGAAGAAACAACATGAGTTGCCTATTCGGACAGCCAAATGTCGAAGTCTATAACTAGTTGCTGCATGGTGTATGTTCGGGCTTATCAATGATGAAAGTTACCGAATATGAAACATGCCTCAAACGTTTGGGTCAGCCTGAGCCCAAGTCAAAGCCAAGCTAAGCCAGCACAGGCCGGGCCAGGCCCAGACAGAATGCGCTGAATAGAAAGGCGTTGCACATTGATTAGTCATATGTGTTTGAGAGTGGAATGGATCAGATGAAGAGAGCATGAAAGCGTAGCATTATCCCGAGCTAAAAAGACGAGGGATACTCGCTAGCCAACCTATAAGTATATTTATTAGATATATTCGAGACCAAAAATCAGAGCACAGATTGATCAGTCCTCACTGCCTTAAAGTTTCCTCATTTTGCCAATTGGCTTTCTCTTGGCAGCTTCATCAGTGCTCTACTGTACCAAAGAGTTAGCTAATCTAACCTGATGCTACCTGTCTCAGCCCACATTTGTTGCGTTGATCTAGTCCTTAGATCATGTTACGCTCATCTTCTTTCTGGCCGCTCAACCTACACAGCTGACATTGCTTGTTCGACTTCCTACTTGCAGAGCCCACTTGTTGCAGTCTGTCTATGTGGATATGTGAACATCATCATCATTATCAGCAACAACATCATCAACGTCATTATGAACATCATATTAATTGTGTCTGCCCAGACAGTGAACTGCTTGTGTGTGTGTGTGTGTGTGTGTTAGTGTGTGTCTTGTCCGTCCACATTAAGGCTTGTTGCGATCTGTCCGATTAGCTGGAGGAGCTGTTGGCGTTAATCGTGAGCTCCAGGCAAATGTGTCCAGTCTACGCCTTATCGAGCAACGTCTGCGTTGGCCGGACACCAGCCAAAAGTCCATTTCACTCAAATGCAGCAACTGTCAAGTGTATTTAGTGACCGTTCCGCCAGTGCCTTAGTCATCGTAGACACGGTCTACAGTCCACAGTCCACTGTCCTCTGTCCCCAGTCCTCAGTCCGCTGTCTGTCTGGGGGCTTCGCGTCTTAATGAACCGCAAATCATTTTGTGTCTGCGTTGGTTTTGTATTCATTTTTTTGTTTTGTTTTGTTTTGATTTCGTATTTTTTTACTCTTTGGGTAGGCTGAGCTGGACCAAAACGTGACCAGAGCCCGTTCCTGGCTGCCTTTGCATTGTGTGGGATAATAAGTTGAGATTGCTTGGTTTCGGCACGGGGTACTTTAATTGACAGGCCAGGTGAAGACACAGTCTCGACGAGCATAAATTTGGAGGCCTTTGGGTTAGAATTTAATTGAAAGTTGCGAAGATGTGCGAGCCGAGTCTGATCAGATTAACAACAGACTCTAAACAGAATCTCGACTTTTTCTGAGTGCAAAAAGAATACGAAGCCTGAACTACTACATACTAAGTCGATGCAAACCGTTCTCTTTGCGCAGACGTAGCATTAAGGATGCTGCCTGTTGTCAACTCCCACGGATGCTGGAATAACTTGTCGTCTTTGCCCACTTCCGCTGCGGATGCGGCAGAATCATGCAGTCTACCCACTGGCTAACTGTCTACCCCTCTAGCCATCCTGTCGCACCATCTGTCTACCTGTTTTTGTCTGCATCGTGATGCTGCGCAAACTCTGAGCAAACTTTGATTGAGCTGACAGTCCACGCCTTTGCCGAGCTGCCCCGCCAGACATCTGACCTATCGATCCGCACTCGGGAGTAATTAAGTTCCGCTTCGATTCGATTGGCGGCAATTCGTTCCACGTCAGACAGCGCAGTCCACAGTGGAGCACAGTCGAGCACAGTGGAGCGCTGTGAAGAAAGCCTTTCTTTAAACTAGTTCAAACTGTTCGACCTGTTGCTTTTCCTCTTTCACACTCTAGTCCCCCACTAGGCTCTCACTCTCTCGCTCTATCGCTCGCTCTCTATAGCTGTCGCGTCTTATCGTTGGCATCCCCGCGGTGGCTTTTTAATTGGCCACATCATTTTGATTAAGTTGTTGCTTGAAAATTAATTAACAAATTATGCCTGGCCAGCGCATTGGAAATTGAAATTTCTATGTCTTGTCCAGCAGCGCTTTAAAAAGCGATTTTCACTTTTCTACAGCGCACAGTCGGTCGCCGCTAGGAGATTGTATTATCATCATAAGACGCGTATGCACCGCGCACTAAGTGAGAGGTGTTGGAATACGCTGCACAACCCAGAGATCTGCATTAGTCGGGGATCAACGGATCATTGAACTGGCGAATTACAGGGATATGGAATAAAATAATATTATAAAACTAATATCATTTCCACTCAACTTAGATTGAAGTACTTCAAGCGGTCCTTAAATCAATTATCTTCTCTTTTTACTCATTAGTTGGTTTGCCTTCCTTTATTTGTATCCATTTGATTATTCCGAATAGTTCTACATTCATCAAAAATGGTTTCGTTTTCTTATTAGTCCCGAGGCCAATTCCCATTCAAAACTTAATAAATTGTCAAATGATTTAACAAGCTGTAAGCTGCGCCCATTGTTGTGCCCCAGAGTCTCCCCCTTCGCAGCTTAACCTTAAGACAAAGACAAACTGCGGCAACCTTTCACACAAAATGCCGGGCAGAACCAATTCGGGCTTGGAGCCCCCAAGCGTTTGGCACGTTAAGGCACAGGTGTAATGCCAACTGGGCGACGTAATTTGAAAAAATAAGACAAAGCTTTTTTCTCGTTTCCGATTTGGCGCACCCAAAGAGGGATTGGAAATATATATAATATTGTAAATATCAAGAGTTGAAATAGAAGTGAAAACTAAATTGAAAAATTTAATAATCAATTTAAATTGAAAGTTAAAGTTCAAAATTTAATGTGCATTCAACATGTTAGACCCTTTAAAGGTGGAACAATTTTTTTAAGAAGATTGATTTGCCGAATCTATCCATTTTTCATAAAACTTTTCGAGAATAGAATTTTTATTATTTAGCAAATACTAATTTATTCAAAATATAGTCTAAATTAATTAATTAATATTTGTGAATTGATGCTACTTATAAAAACGATATGAAATCATTTTTCCCTTTTATAATTGTAATGAGCTAATAGCCGAATATTCCACAAAGCCAATATACTTTTTATCACTTTGTGAACGAGCATTAAATGTGGTGGAAACAGGGGCAAAACCTGAAGCTGCAGCCGCAGTGCAATTACTGCAGCCATTTAATGATCGGCCCGGGGTGCGACTGAAGCCGGAGCAACCAGAGCTGGCCATAAGATTAATGGTTCATTCAAGAATTCGATTTTCAGACAAGCCAGACAACGAGCTGCCAGCGACAAGCTGCCCCAAACAACAGCAGCAACAACAACAACAACAGCAACAGGTTCATAATCATATTTTGGCAAGTTTTTAGGCGGCTGCAAAATATGAAATCAAAATGCTTAAAAATGATCAAATAGAACTGAAAATACTTCTGGTTAGCCGCAGAACAAATACTCTTGCGAGCTAATAGAGTGAAATGCTGCTATACAAATATAATGCATTATAATGAGAGAAAAAGCGACAATATGCTCGAGGCAACGAAGACATATGCTCTATAAGAGAGACTTGTGGCAATGTATGTTAGCTGACATAGCCTATATACCCTCGATTAGGGTATATAAGCAGCTCGCATGTTACGCCGCGGGGCGTTGCAAGAACACCACCAACAACAACAACAACAACGACACCAGCAACACCAACAACAGCTCCTACAATTGGTGCCTGCCGGTCTGAGACATGTTGACACCAGACGAGGCAACGACTTGGCCGCCATTTGGCTGCGCGTTTGGGCTTGGCCACTGCAGCCGCACAAAATGCTATTTGAACAACTGTTTGGCAGCGCTCGAAAATAATTGTTTAAATGTCATAAAAATAGTTGTGGAGCCAAAACGCGCCGAAATGTGCAACAAAAGACGCTGAAAACCGTGCAAAAACTTTGTGCCGTCCAGCTGGATCCTTCAGACAACCAACAAAACATAACTCAAAAATAATTGATATTTAATGGGCGCATAAGCTGTTCACGCCAGCCAGCAAAGCTCTTCTAAATTGAACAAATGAAAAACCTGTTCAAATGAGCATCAATGGCAAAATGCACGCGCACGCGCACGTTTATAGTCGCTAGCAAATCGCGCGCATGCCGCCCACTGTTTTTCTCGCATTTGCATTTAATGGAAAATCGTCGCATTCGCATTGCCCAACACCCGCTGATACCACCTTCGCCTCTCACCCACCTCATGCACCCTCACTTTAAGTTTTGGCACCCCGTTTGGCTTTTTGGGCTGCCGCCATTTGCACATTTTGTTGCCATTGTGTGTTGGCCGCGTTTTGAGCGCGTCTTGGGCCAGCCAAAGGGGGCCCACATTAGAGGGGCGCTTGCAATCCGAGAGCCCATTGACGCGCCCCTGCCCCGGCTCCGTACCCACAGCTAGTCGTAATCGCACTCGTGCATTCTGTGCATTTGTTTTTTATGAGAATTACTTGCGTTTAGCTTGGTAATTTATGCACTCGACTCGACTCGCTCGTTGTATCAAATTTCGATTGCCAAATCATTTGGAGCGAACATTATTAAAACATATTTTTCGGTTTTTGTTATTTTCTGCTTTAGTCTTTTTTGTTGTTGTTGTTGTGAGCTGTGAGTATCGTAATCAAGGCAGAATTGTGGCCATATCAATGCTAGTGGCTTGGCTTAGATTCAGGTGCTTGAAATCGAGCTTACTCTAGTTGATGGACTTGGGCTTGGCCCACTTGCACTATGTTAGAGTAAATCAATAAATGTATATATACATACATATATGTATGTATATGTATAAATTGCAGCCGATAGCTATAGATATCACCAAGCAGGCAGTTTAAATGACTTTGTTTGCTTGCGACGAGGAATAATGAATGCTAATGACCGCATTCGATTCATCTGATATTCGTATTCAAACATTTATATAATAAGCAATAAAAACAGTTT